TGCGAGGGGCATTTCAATAGCTCGGCAATAAACACTTGGCGAAGCTGAAGAAATAATCTCTCCATGGGCTTTCATGTGCCACTGGATACCTCTCTTGGCACGCCCGGAGATATTTTGGAAGTGGTGGTGAGAGACAAATTGATTCTCATCATCTCCATCCACAGGAAAAGGCCAAGAATGCCATAGTGTATAAAGACTCCAAAATTTAAACTCCCCGGGACTTGGGATGGAGTGTTCCTGCATTTGCACATTGTGATGTCAAGGAGATGGGATTGTACTAAGCTATGGACAGGAAAAATAGGGAGAATCAATGAAGGCGTCATAGATAGAAATACTGAAACGGGCTGTCGGGCCGGTCAGGGAGAAAGACAGGTCAGAAAGGCTGGGAAAGGGAACGTTGTTTAACAGGAAAGTCACAGCTACTGGCTCCTGATTGGGGCAGGGTGAAGGCGGCTGCATGGGACTGAGCAGTGCTGTTAGAACTAAGCACTCCCCAAATTCATGCTCCAGATGGTTCTATCAGCAGTGGGAGAAGGTGCCTTTAGAGCTGCTTGTCCTCGGTTAACCTCCTCTTCCATTCCCTGACGGTCTGAGAGAAAGGTACAGAAAAGCAAACGCTATAAACCTCCAGAAGGCTGGTACGCCTCTGGGCTACAGGGGGAAGTCGGGGCTGGCGGGGATCACTCATTCTGTCCAGCTTGAGTCAAACATTTATTGAGCACCTCCTGTGTGCGATACACATGGAAGGCCCAGGGTGGGGGGTGCGGGAGGAAGATGGGAGGGAATTCAAGAATGAGGAAGACCGTGACCTTGCCCTCCAAGAGCTTAATGCGGTCTGAAGCCAGGCAATCACTTCACCATACACTGTGCTATGAAGGAGAAGAGACCTGAGGTAGTTTGGAAGAGTTGGGCTTTTTTTTTTTTTAACTAACATTTTTTTTAAGGTTTTATTTATTTATTTGACAGAGACGGAGAGAGAGAGAGAGAGAGAGCACAAGTAGGCAGAGTGGCAGGCAGAGGGAGAGGGAGAAGCAGGTTCTCTGCTGGGCAGAGAGCCGGGGAGCTCAATGCCAGGACCCTGGGATCATGTCCTGAACAGAAGGTAGAGGCTTAATGACTGAGCAACCCAGGCGCCCCCTCAAACTGACTTTTAAATGTCCATGCGATTCCAAAAGGGGAACTGAGGGGGGTTAAAGAGAGAGGCAACTCAGAGAACTGGCATCCTTCAGGAGCTCCAAGAATCAGTGTGACCAGGAAGGCTTCAGGGTGGGGGTGAGGGCCAGCATCAGACTTCAAAGGATGGCCACACTATACTTGTCAGGAATGTCCAAACACGCATTTCAGGAAGAAGTGACAGCAATGGCAAATTCAGAAGTGGGAGCGAGCCAAACCAGGCTGGTCAAGGCAGCCTAAGGAGCAAGTCCCAGCTTCCGAAAAGGTTTCTGGGAAAGTTCTCTGGTGCCTCATGTAACAGTTTGTCCATATCAGCAGAAGCGAGGGTTTGAAGAGTCTACAACGTAGTCCGTGCTCTTTACCAAGTTGCCCCACTTTCTGTGCACCCCTCCCCCACTGTACCAATGCAGAATACCATGTCATGTCTACATATTGCCTGCAGAAAGCCTTCCATGTATTGGCTTTGTCTGTCACATCTGTCTAGAGAAGAGAGAAACCTACCTCCTGAGATCTCTAGAGGGCTGAAAGAGTTAAGACGAGTGGTCATCACTCTTTCTTAGGAAAAGCTAAAATGTGAATCAGGACACATCCTTTCTGGTGAAAACCTCATCACCAGAAGCAAGCCTCCCCTTGTCAACCATTCCCCATCTCCAAGACAGCTCAGGGCTCAGAACACTGGGCCCATGGATATATCCCATCTTCAAGCAAAAGGGTGGAAGCAGTGTAGATGACAGAAGGACATGACTGAGTATTCCTGTAATGGAGGATAAAGGCAACAGCACACTATTTTGACTGTTCTTTGTCTTTTCACATCCTGAAATTTCCAACTCATTGTGATTAAGATAATTAAAGGTCTGCCCGAGAATAGAGAGAGACCCTGGTTTGTCAAAGCCTAAACAAGGATGTGGATGAATCTGTTAGGTCAGATTGTGGAAGTTCTTGAATTCCATGCTGTTCAAGATGGTGGTAGGATGGTGGTGCTAGTATGTTGAGGAAAGCCTAGAAGCAGAAAGGCCAAGTAAATGTGTTTGGGGAGTAATGGTCACGGCTGTGGCTGCCGCATGTGTGAGTTGGCAGGGAAGGAGTAAGAGATGACTCTATAGAATTAGGCTGGACCCAGGGTATAAATCACAGGCTGAGGGTCTGTTCTCAGTCCCATTGGTTGGGGTGGGGGGTTGTTGAACAGAAGGCATAGACCCTCTGAATGATACCTCATAACCTCAGTCTCTCCTACTCCCTCTCCCCTTTCCAGATAAACCCCAACACCTTTCTGTGATGTGGTGTCCCCCTCTCGGCCAAAACAGCTAGTGTGGATGAAAGGATGGGTCAACAGAGGCCAGTGGGGGTATATGAAGAATGAGAAGAGCATCTCATCTTTCTGCCCATGCTGCTGGCAGAGAGCAGCTGTGCAGGCCCAAGAAGCCAGCTATGGACTGAGGGCCATGGCTGGGAAACTCTGAGGAGTGGGTCCAGGTTCTGGAAAGCATCAGGATCCAGGAGCAGCAGCATTTTCCAGAACAGCCAATGTGACACAGACCCATTTCATGGGTTTGCTCCAAAGCAATGTCTTCCCTGCATTTTTGTCCCCCAGGAAACATATGTCAACACCTGGACATATTCCAGGTAGTCACAACTGGGAAGTGGGTGCTACTGGCATCTAGTAGGTAGACCCCAGGGATGCTGCTATCCTACAACATACAGGACATCCCCCTACAACAAGGAATTCTCAGGCCCCAAACATCCATAGCAGCACAGACAAGAAGCCCAGCTCCAAAGGCTCTGTTTTCAGGCATCCTGGAGAGGCAGGAGGCCCCTAGACCGGCTTCCTAGACCTCTGGTTGATATATCTCCAGGTTATCATTGCCTCCGTCAGGGGCAGCTCTGGAAAGGGATGCCATGTGAGCAAGCTCCTAACAGTGACACTCTCCAGCAAGGGGCAAGGGAGAAGGATGGGAATGGAAATTCAGGCAAGGTGGCTTCAGCTTCCCTGCCCTTCCCGCTCAGCCCCATTCTGTAGTGAGAGGTGCTGCCCAGAAGCTTTGCTGGGACCTACACCCTTGAAGGAGCTAGGACACGCTGTCCCAGGTCAGATGAGGGGATGCTGCCTGGGCAGTCTCCAAGACCCCAGGGACTTTGCACAACCCATAGCCCTTACTTTTCTAGCCATCTAGAGAGCAGCAAGTTCAGCCAGCCCCCCAGCCATGTGTGCGCATGCGTGCTCTCTCTCTCTCTCTCTCTCTCTCTCTCACACACACACACACATACACACACATGCAGACATGACACTAAAGGACAGAACTCACTGCATGAGGAAACCTGCCTTGGGAGTCACCCACCTACACCAGACCCACAGCTCATCTCCCTAGGGACTCCAGTTCAGCACTGCCAGAGACCAGTGACATCCGCTTTCATAGGACGCCCAGTGAGCGAGGGGGTGGAGGTGACGCAACAAGGCAGTGGCCTTTACTGAGTCACAGTCAGTGGAGAAAGACCTTCAGAAACTGAGGGTATATCTGGGCGGCCCCTGCCTCCATCACTGACTTGGCGCTTTGCCTGTCCACTTCCTCATCCTTAAAATGAGGCGCGAACCACAGCTACCATTAGGAGAGCACTTACTCTGCGCCAAGCAGCTTAAGTACACTTCATTCTCACAACAGCCCTGTGAGAGCCTGTATTTAATGCCCACGAGAGGGGTGGGGACATGGGGGGAAACGGCTTGTCCACGGTCCCATGGGCATCCAGTGGCAGAGCTAGAGCTACAATCTAGCACAATACAGTCTGCCTCCAAGGGGGAGGTAGGAGCCCTCAGGGACCACGCTGCCACACAGGGTCATTAACCTCCAGTGGGATGGGCACCAGGGCAAAGGCTTCCGTGTGCATGGCATTTATTAATGGTGGAAACTTAAGTTAGGGGACTGGCCCCGGCTGGGTGGGCCCACCGTGCCAAGGGCTACCAGGCAGATGCTGCTGTAAACACTCCTGAGACTCGGAGCCAAAGGCCCTGCTGCTGCTGGCTGGCCTGGCCAGGCCCCACTAAAAATAGATGGGCTCTCGGGTCCAGCTCCCTGAGCACAGCGGGCAGGCTGCTCCCTGCCCCAGCCTCCTCCTCGCCCCTCCCCCCTGCCCCACCAAGCATGAGCCAGGCTTCTAGAAGGAACAGAGATGTTAAGACTTCCACCACAAGCCAGAAAGAACTGCTGAGTTGATGCCCAGTGGTCACGTTCCAAGTCCTGGTGCAGCCGTAATCGCAGAGGTCCAGACCCCAACACCCTACCCATCTCCCTCCTACAGAGGAGGCCGTCGACCTCCAAAACCCACACAGGGAAAAAGGGGGACCACCCCGTGCTCTTTTTCCTTTTCCAGAACTGACTCGCACTGTTGACAGCGCTGTGTGGTGTCAGTGTTTGCAGCAGCTTCCGCAGGCGCCCCGGGAATCCCTGGAGCCCGCGGGGAACGAGGCAGCGCTGGGCCAGCCGGGGAACAGCGCCGGAGGCCGGGACGAGCGCTTCAAGCGCACCGGGCGAGAGGCTCTCTGGAGTCGGCGGCTGTGGCTCCCGCCGCCCGGGTGCAGGTCAGGGCTCGGCTGGGGATTTCTTTTCAAAGGTGACTTAGAGCGGCTTCGTTAGGGTAGCGCCCTCCCGGGCGGGCCCTAATGCGTGTTTGGCAGAGTCAGCGAAACGCGGCGCCCAGCGGATCGGCGGCGGGGGAGCGCCCTCTCCCGCGCCCTCGCCGTCTCCCGCGCCAGCTAGCGGCGCGCACGGGGCCATTTGCAGCGCAGGCAGCCTCGAGAGCGGCCGCGGCGCCACGGCGGGGAGCGAGGCGGCACCATGGAGCTGAAGAAGGACAGCAACGCCGTGTCCATCGACATGCTGCTGATCGTGCACTCGGAGAAGCGGCGCGCAGCGCAGGGCACGCACTCGGACCGGCAGGCGGACCCGGGCGCGCTGCCGCAGCGCAGAGGAGGTAACGCGCGCCCGGCCGGGCCCCCGGCCCCCGCACCTCGGCCTCTTCGCCCTGGGGCCCGCCCGCTGGGGGGGGCGCCTCAGGCACCCCCGAATGAGGTCAGCGAGACCGACCCTCTCCCCGCCGCTGCCTGCGCCTCTGCGCCCTGGCACCGGCGTCCCGTGGCAACGCGCAGCCCCGTGATTGCTCCGGGGTTGACTCCCTGCGTGGGCTGGTCGGTGCTTCCGTCAGCCCCCCGGGGAGCCACCTTCCTCCCAGCCACTCTCTGAAGGGTGCACAGCAGGGTTAGAAGATGCCTTGGAGGAAGGGGGCCAGAGCTTCAGGCCTGACCCCTGTGTAGCCGAGGCCTGCTCCTCACATGGCACATTGCGGAGCACAGGGGACCCAGGGAAGTCTGTGTGCTGAATCAGACTTTTTGACACGGAGCTCCCTTGGTGTCCTTGCACAACTCCTGGCCTCAGTTTCCCCTAACTTGAAGCCTCTCCTGGCCTCCCACAGTAGAAGCCATAAAGGGTGGTGTAAAAGGCACACAGGCTTGGGTATGGCCAGCTAAAATCTGCTTTCTTCCACTCTCACGGATCTATTAATTTTACTCTTCCTACAGACTTTCTGAGGAAAGTCTGAGGAAGGGTAGACTGGAAAATTAAAGTGACTGTTTATAGAGCAGTTGTGGAAAGCAGCACTCACTGTAATCTCCAAAGAGGACACACTGAAGAGAATACAGATGGGGAAATCACAGATGTTAGATGAGCCCCTCAGAAGTTAGGGAATCAGTCCTAGGTCTAGGGGGAAGCCCTCCCGAACCTTCTGGGGGGCTGGTGTGAGGTTTGTGCTAGGCTGACCATGGGCCAGTGCCTTGGGAGTGATGTTTAATAACCCATGGGGTAGAATGACTTCTGCCTCCTACCTTCCCTCCAGCTCCAGAGCTCCTCAGAGTCTGCCTCTGGCTCTTCTGTCTGCAAAGGCCCTGTGTGCACTGAACCCCCACCTTCTACCTGCCCCACGGAAGCAGTGGTGCCGTGATTGGCTTGGCCCCCACCAGTCACACAGGCTGGAGCTGCCCCATATTTCCTGGTGACCTCTTGGGGAAAGAAATAGATTCTGGAGGGCTGTGCGTGTTATCAGGTACTCCAGTCTCTGGAGGGATTTGGGGCCAGTTGTTTGGGTTACTTGGTTCTTTCATTCTCAGAGCTGCTCCTAGGAGAGGTGGAAATGGCCCACCCGGGTATTTGTAATGAGGAAATACCTGCTCCTTGATTGAAAAGAAGCTGCCTCTCCTCCAGACACTGTGGTTGAGAAGGCCTCCCCCAGTGTGTGGCAAGGCCAGAGGGCCCCCAAGAGGCCCAGTTCCTGGTCAGCCTATGAGCCCCCTCCTCCCTTCCCCCCCTCAGATTGCATCTCTCCTAAAGGCTCCAACACTAGAAAGAGAGGAAGAGGAACACAGAGAAGCCCCGGAAATGGCAGGGATCAGGACTGTTCCCTGAGGCGTCCCACCCCTAGCACACACCCTACAGGACTCCAAACCAATACATTTCACACTCATGACCACGACGCAAGGGAAGAAGACCCTGCTTGCCAAGGGTCTGTTATTTCTGCTGTTTGTCTCCAAAATTTTCCTGAAGGAGGTTTCTCTCAGACACTAGGCCAGCAGAGAGACTAGTGTCACTTATTTACAATCAGTTCTGTACCGAAGCAGAGGGAGAGTGTCCAGCCTCCAAGGCTGCTGGGCAGTGTTGATGTCCAAGAGACCCCTGGCTAAGCCGGCCTATGGGCCCACACAGCTGAAGGCAGGGAAACACTGAATTAAATTAGCATGTTCCGAGGCCTCCTGTTGGGGCACAAGATCCAAAATGTCCCCACACCAATTCCAGGCATCTCCTCCTATCTCCCCTCCAGCCCAGGTCCTTGGCTCTGTGAAGGAGGACCTGAGCTCCATAATTGTCACAATGCAGAGGGCTAAGTAAAGATGTGATCGGGTGGCTTTCTGCTGTGTCCTTGTGGCAGAAAGAGTCAGAAGGACAAGGAGGCAAAGAGAGTGTGTGCCAGGTGGCCAACAGAGCTCTCTGCTCTTTCCTCTATGGCCCTTCCATTCTCCTTTACACAGTGCTTCTCAAAAGCATGCCTGGACACCCTCACCTCCTATCCTGTGCCCTGGAGGAGGTGGCGTAAAGCCACCTCCACCCAGTCTAAAAGTGCCCCATAGTCAGGTTTCATTCCTCCAAGTTGGTGTGATGTGTGCATTCCACTCCACACAGGTGTCAGCAAGGGTTCCGAGCAGTAAGCCCGGATCCTGGCTGCAGAGAGCACTGGAGAAAAGAAGAGCATTGGGAAGGGACTGGGGGACTTGCAGGGGTTGCAAGGGCAGGAGACCCAGGCTAGAGGCCGAGCTTCCTGGAACAGCACCATCCGCGGCCCAGCTGAGCTGGTCTGTTGAGGAAACCTCTGTTGCCACCAAAGGACCCTAGGGACTCCTTTCTCATCAGGAGCTTGATCTTACCGCAGCTGCTCCCGTTGCCAGAACGTACACCATTTCTGTGCCAGGAACTCGACCTCTCAGCCGCCACTTCCAGCCATGACCAGAAGGAGCGAGCGAGAGAAAGCGAGAGAGAGCGAGTGCTTCTCTCTTGCATCATCAGGTCCTAAGGTGGAAGCAGACACAGGTTGCTCGGAGTGGCTGTGCCTGGGCCACACTTGTCCATGGTGCATAGGTCCATAGCTTGTCCATAGCTGCAAGGGAGGCTGGGAGACTATCATCCAGGGAGAATTTTCACAGTTTTCCAACAATCACTTGAGTTTCCTATAAGGATAGACCCTCTTTGCCCACCCTCCACCTTACATCATAGCTCTAAAAGCGGGAGATTCCCCGCATAGGGAAATAGGTAGCAAAATGAATGATGAGCAGCTTCCACAATGTGCCTCCATATTCATGCAGCAGAGATATGGAGTGAAAAATGGGCATCTGTACTGGGAAAATTCTCCCCAAATGATCCTGACAACCACCTTTGAAAACTACTATTCTAATATTTTCCTTTAATGTTTTAAAGTGTGTCTCATTTGTGGGCAGCCTCTCCCGGATGCTGACTGAGCTGGATTCCTCCAGCCCCACCTCAACCCAGATGCATTAGCAGCTGGCCCATCACTTGCTGGCCTGGGTCTTCCCACCATGGAGACCCTCAAGCCAGACCCTCTATTCCACAGGACTCCAGGGCGTCGGAAACGGAATCCGGAGATGGCAGAGATTCGAAGGAAATGACGTGCATGGTAACGCTCTTTTCATCTTATTTTCTTTACGTCTCTGTAATTCAACACATTGAAAAATGATGGAAACATTCGATTTCACTGGCTCTAGATATCTAATCAATCAGAAAGTGGCTACTCGTGTTTGCCATGCCTCTGGGGCCACTGTGACCCCAGAAAGTTTTCCCTGGCATTGCATCCCCCAAGTTTGGAGTGTGTTCCCCCTGGAGGTGGGGTTGCTCACATCAGGCCCGGTATCCATCTTTTGGAAAATTTTTTCAGAAAGGAGGTGGCCTGTTTGGGGACATTATTACTCCAGGCCCAGGGAGATGGGTGCTGTGTTCCTGTCTGGCTGGGGACCCAGAATATAGTAAGATCTGAGAGAAGTCCATTTCCAAAGCCTCCTTTCTCTGGTGCCAGCTGTCTGTCACCCTGCAGGCCCAGGACAGCTCTGGGAATGCCATCCATGGACTGGCCCTACCAGGTCTTTTTCTGTACCCTTCAGAGATTCGTAAGCTCACCTTCCAAGAGCAAACATCAGCGAAACTGCACTGTGGGCACGTGAGAATTCTAACAAGAGTCAGTTCTCCACTCCTGGGGCCCCACTAGGGGTCACATTCAGATTTGGGCTCATCAAATGCTTGCGTGAAGAATCCTCTGCAGGTGGAGAATCGGGCCCCCAGCTGAATGAGACCAAACAGCTATGCTCTGCCCTCCTGACAGTAGCAAAAGGGAAGGATGAAATTCTAAACGTAAACGCATTCATCTGCAGTGTTTCCTTCATGCCAGGCAGGATTCTAGGTGTTGCAATAAAAACAGTCAAGACCCCCTGCCCTCATGGGACCATGTTACTGATTATAGTCATAATGCTTTTCACTGCAATAGAATCCCAGCTCCCTGGAGGTTAAGAGCTTTCCTGTGTTCCTGGCCCTATGCACGAAGACAGATCATACTTGAGACATGCTCCTGCCCTGGGGACCAGCCCTTGGAGTCCCGGCTCATGGGCATACATGGTGGGATGGCTTCCTGACCCTTGTTTCAGGGCCATAAGACAATAGATGCACCTGCTCTACCTGGACCAAAGCAGATGCCAAAGTTAGAAAACTAGACTGCAGGCTCATTAGAATTCTGAGAATCAGACCACCAGCGACCTGTCCCCAAAATGCACAGCAGGCAATGCAAATATGCACGCTTGGCCGGCGTACAAGCGGGTGAGTGGAAAAGTGGGTTGAGGTGGGAGGGAAGAAACACGGCCATCTTCATTTGTTATAGCTCTCTTACCTTGAGTTGTCAGAAATTCATCTTAAGGCTTCTCAGCCATGTTATTACGTTAGGAGATGATTGAAATACAGTGAATTTATCCTACTTTTACCATCTTTAGGGCCCCTGATTTGAGGGAAGGTTAGTGGGAAAATACAACAAAATAAAGCGGATCACGGGGCACCTGGCTGGCTTAGTCGGTGGAGTGTGCGGCTCTTGATCTCCCGGTTGTGGGCTTGAGCCCCATGTTGGGTGCAGAGATGACTTTAAAAAAATAAAAATCTTTTTTAAAAATAACTTTAAAAAATGAGGAGTGTGAAAGTAGTTCTTGCCAAACCACCAGAGAAAACTGAGAGTTACAGGTAAGTGGAGGCCTAGAGAGAGGCTCTGCAGAGCCTGGAAAAGATAAGGGTTGTATCACTCCACCAGTATAGGTATTTTAAAGTAAAATTTTATGTATGCTTTCAAGTTGCACATGTGCATGCAGAAACTAAAATTACGGCTTCTCTCTCTGTGTTTTCTGACGGTGAGACTCTGCGTACATACTTCCCTCACTGGCGTCCAAGGCACCCAGCCCTGGAAACTGGATGGCTTTCATCTGCAAAGGAGGCAGCTGATGGCTTGTGCTGGTGGAGTGTGCACAAATGTGGCCGAACATGGGGCAGATCCAAAAAGGCACATGTTCCCCTTCTCACTGCCCTGTGTGCTCCTTGTGCCGGGGCGTTGGCAGGGTGGGGGGAGCCTGGACTGCTCCAAACTTTTCCGAGCAGCAGGTGTTCGGGCCCAGCCAACCCCACTAGCTTGCCCAGCAACGGGCTTCCCCTGCTGTGATTGGCTGCTTTCCTTGGTCCTGGCCGAAGTCTGCCTAGCAGCATGGGGACCGACACCCCATAGCCACAGGGAAACCAATTGTGCAGCCCTGACTATAAATACCCACAGCAGCTATGCCAGCCAATCGTCCTCCTTGAGGATTCCCTTCCCGGATCCTGTTTCCTTCATCTGCCAGCCCAGCAGGAGATGTAGCCAGCTGTGCCTGAAGGAGGCAGCCTCGCTGTCCTCACTTGAGTCTGGCCTAGAGCTCCAGACAGACATCACCGTGGATTGGCACACTCAGTGCTCCAAGCCCTCGGCCAGCCCACCGACCTTAGCCCTCAGGGTGAGGGTCCTGGCTGGGCCTGCTCATAGGAGAAGACTAGAGCAGGCAGATTCTCCAGGGCAAGACCCTGCCAGGGGGATCAAAGATCCAGCCCAGCTCAGTGACCTGCCTATCCACCTTGACCACCTTCTGCCTGGGCCCAGGTGTGGGAAGCCTTGAATGGCGGAGCTGGTTGGGTGCACAAAGGAAGATGTCTGAATGGAACCTGCTGAGACGAGCGCCCCAAAGACAGGGCTATTTCCAGACCCAGGCCCTACCCCTAGCAACCACTTCCAGTGGCAGGCCCGACACTTTTTGCAGACCAGTGGGAGGCCAGGGAGAAGGTGGCAGGCCAGGGTGGTCACTGTAGGGGAAGGCCCTATTGCCACAACCCTGGTCCTTCCCCAGCCCCTCCCGACACGCCCCCCCCCCCCATACCTGCAGCAGCCTCAGCAAGACCAGGCCGACGTAGCAGCTGGTAAGGGAAAGATGTAGGAAAAGGCGTTGCTTCCCATAAGAGGGGCAGGTAAGCCTGTGGGTTTCCCCTTCATGGCCTGTGGCAGGAATGGGGCCTTTCTCACAGCAACCTGACCCCACTAGGCTCTGAGGACAGCTCTATGTTCCAAAGACATAAAGATCCCTAGTGCGTGGAGAGAACATTTACATAGTGGGGGCCCTGCGAATGTCCGTGCAACTGACCCATACTGCAGGTCACCCCAACTCCTCAGCTCGAGTAGAAGGCAAGCTGTCCCCATTCTGCTCAGAGGGAGGCAGGAGCTTGACCTAGGAATCAGGAGACTGGGGTCTCAAGTCCCTGGGGGCAACGTCTGTAGCCAAAAGTTAGGCCCAGGCTGCAGGCCTATCAGCTATAAAATTCGGGTAGGAGCCCCACTCCCCGGGCCACTCCACAGAAAGGGTGATGATCAGCAAGGCATCCCTTTGCACTTTGGCTGAGCCTGGCCACACTGAAGCTGGGACCCATGAGAGGGGCACCCAACTTCTCGAGAAGAAACCCAGCCTCTGCTGGCACCGCTGAGAGATGTAAGGGTGTGTGCCCACAGGTTCACAGTCACTTGCCTCTGCATTCGGGTGTGTAAAGGGGCTGATTCACACGTGTGTGCACACAGATGGGCACACATTTAGGTCAGGCCTGCATGAGTTCACCCCCCATCAGCCTGCCTTTCTTGCAGATGCACACAGTTCCCTGGTCGGCCCGGGGCAAATTCCGCCATTGTCCCAGTGGTCACTTCGGATCTGTCTTGCTTCACAGGAAGCCTGGCGGAGAAGCAGCATCCACAGCAGACCCAGGTCATCACGTCCTACGACAACCAAGGTAAGGATTCACCACGCCCGTGGCCTCTCCTCCAGCTCCCATCTGTCTGTCTCTGCTCTCCAGGCCAGAAACACAGCAAGGGAAGAGGCAAACTTTCTTCTCTGCCCTATGGATGCTGGAGCACCCTCTCCCTCTCCTTCTCCCTGCATCCCATGGGAAGCAGTGAGAGGCTGCGGGATGACATGGGAGAGAGTGATCAAGTCCTTGGGCCACAGAACCCACAGCTGTCCTCAGGGCCCTTGCTGTCATCACCAGAGCTAACATTTATGAGTGCTAACCATGTGCCAGGCACCCTGGTGGTCCATTTACATAATTATCCTCCTGCAAATGAACTTCACACTCCTATGTGATCCGTACTCTCAGCTGGCCTCGATTTATAGATGAGTAAACTGAGGCTTGGAAAGGTTGTCATATGTCTAAGAGCACAGAGCCAGAAAGCATCAGAGTGGGGGGCAACCTGACCCCCACCTCCCTACAGCTACCCCCAAGACCTTTGCTGTTAACCCTCACACAGCAATGCTTCCACAGAGCTTCTGGAAAGCGGCCTTCCCCCTGCCTGCTCACTGCCCAAGCCTTCCCTCCTCCTGAGTCACAGCGGTTCCCTGGCCTCTCCTTCCGAGACGCAGCCTTCCAGGGCCTTCCAACCAGGGATGAATTTAACTCAGCAAAGGAAAGTGAGAGGGCACTTCCTTGAGAATCCTCACTTCACAGGGATGGGTTCTGGGGGGTTCTGGGAGCCTCAGACAAGGGTGTCACCATGCTGACTCTGCAGTTGACTGGATCTGAGAACACAGGGTGTATGTGGGGGGGTGGGCGTTGGGGGGAATGAGGCGGCAGGGGCAGAGACAGGAGGACTCTACAGCTATAGCTGGAGGGGAGACCAGGTTAAATAGAGACGCCACCCCCCCCCCACTAACCCCACTCCGCCCCCACCCACATACTAACCTCCCACCTTGGTTTCCTGCTCTGTGTTAAAGACTGAGGGCCTGGCAGCTGAGAGCTCTTGTAGACTCAGCCCTAAGCTTGCACCACTGCTGTTCTCAGTGCTGATGCCCTGACTTGTAAGGAAACTATCTCACCATGTCCAGGGGGCAGTGGCAAAGTAGGAGTCCCAGGAGGACTTAGAGTCTTTCGGGGAATTGCCCTCAGTAACAGACTAATCCAGCATCCCCACGGACAGTCCCTGGCAGGCAGTGAGGAAAGGCCTGTCAAGATGGATTAGCAGCAGGAGGCCAAGCTTCCTTGCAACCAGGGCCACTGTGCCTCTTGGCAGATGGCTCCAGAACAGGCCTCACTCAGCAGGCCCCCTGCCTTCCCCCTGAGCACACAGCCAAGACAAACCTAAGCCCCCTGCCTCCCCGAAATGGACCAGCAGCACACACCTCACCACAAATCAAAAAGAACCAACATCTCACGAACATGAAAGTGGATTCACCACTACATCACTCATCTTGCTTAGTTCTGGCTACACTCAGCGTTGGGGTCATGGTGTTATCCCTGCTTGTGCACAGGGGATGCTGTGGTCCCTGAGCCTGGTGCATCTCCGTGGGAAGGGGCCCACCAGGCCCCAGAGCCTCACCTGGCACACCACACCCTTGCTCTCATGCTGTCAACGTGAAGGCCACTCACGTTCCCCCTACTAGCACTCGAGGCTTCCAGAGAGCAGAAAGAATGGCGGGCTTAGTGTCCTAGGTGCAGAGCAGAGCCTTGTAGGTTGGAATGAGATGGGCCCAGTGGGGTCCTGTGAGAGCCTGAGCCCCAGTGAGGGAAAGGCTGAGCCTCTCTGGGGAGGAACTGGAGTCCAGAACAAAACGGGCAAGGGCTCCTGCCCCTCCCTGCTGAGGGAGACAGACAGCCTTCAGAAGTAAAGTGCAGGGTGTTGAATGAGGCTGAAGGAGGAAACAGAGCCGGGAGGAGGATGGGGGGAGAGTGAGCTCCCAGGGGTGTGTGTTAGTTTCCTATGGCTACTTAACAAATTATCACAAGCTTGGTGGCTGAACGCAGATATTCTCTTCAAGGGCTCTGGAGACCACAAGTCCCAAGTGAGTCTCACTGGGCTAAGTGTCCACAGGGAAGTTTCCTTTTGGAGGCTCCAGAGGAGAATCTGTTCCTCGACTCCTCCAGCTTCCAGAGGCTGCTGGCCCTTCTTGACTTGTAGCTGATCACTCCATTGTCTGTGACCACTGTCACATTGCCTGTTCTCCACATAAGTAGCTCAATCTCCTGACTCCGTTTTATGAGAATCCTTGGGATTACACTGAGCCCACCAGATAATCCAGAATGATCTTCCTCTCTCCAGATCCTTAACTTAGGCATATCTCACAGTCCCCTCTGCTGGTTAAGGTAACATTCACAGGTCCCCAGAATGAGGGCCTGGATGTCTTTAAGGGCTATCACACAGCCTGCCACGTGAGGACAATGTAAAACAGAGTCATTGAGGGAGGCCACCCTGAGAAGATGACATTTGCATAAGGGAGGAGATGAGGAGGCCAGTCTTATGGGCATCGGGGAAGAGCTTTCAGCAGGAACACCAGGTATGAGAAACCTAACGAAGGGGGTGACAAACAGATCACTGGAATCTTGGATCTTCGTGAGAGGGCTGAGAGGACTGCCTCAGAATATCAGTCTGTAATGGGTGGGTGGGTGGAATGACAGGGGCGTGATCCCCCGAGTCCCTGTGATTTCAGGCCCCAAAAGTGACTCCTGAGTTTCCTTTTGAGGCTTCTGTCCTTCCAGGTCCTGCACCCTTGTCCACACGCAGGCACTCTGGAACCTTCATTGATGATGCAGGCACTAGGGTCACACTGCCCGCACTTCCAGACTTGGAACATTCCAGTGGGCTCTGCTCTGCAGAAGGAACCCTGAAGGGCTCTAAGTTTCAAGAGCCCAGTGAAAGCCGGAATGGGTTAGCAAGTTAGGGGCATGAGAGACGCTCTTTGTCATCCCCCCAAGCCTCACGGGTGCCCCCCCCAGTGGTCTCAGCACACTCTGCTGTCAGGGGGTCATCTGTGATGAGAACTGCTGGGTGGGCCTTTCCCGCTGCGTTGGCCGAAGACTGGTGAGGAGTCTGCAGAGCTGGAGTGCCCCTGCCGCCCTCTGGCGTGCTGCTCCCGGGGTACAGGGGCACCTCTTCTTGGGTGTGGACTGCTGCTCCCCAGGCAGAAACCACAGCACGCCTCTGCCAAGCACCTACCCTGGAGCTCTTTCTGAGTGTCTCTGAATTACAGATGCTTTAGCTGAGGCTTCCTGATTCTCGACTCCTGCAGGGAAAGATTTCCAGGCAAAGAACCCGGTTATTAACCCGAGTTCCAGTTCCAAAAAGCGTTAGTGAGGCCCCTTCAGCCAAGGGTGGCAAGTATCTGACGTGAATCCCCCAGCCCCTGCCCCCAGCCACACACATACACACCCACACATGTGTGCACACTCACACACACACTCACGTGCCCACAGTCCTCGCTAATTAATCGACACTCCAGGCAGCCACTTCCAGTCAGTCAGAGTTAATGAACAATGGGAAATCTGTTTGCCATCTCTGCATTAGATATTCTGAGCAAATTAGGCCTGGAGACAAACCCTCATTCAAACCTGCAGAGACCTGGGGAGAAGTTGCTGAGGGGGAGAAGTCTCCTGACCAGGTACAAGGTAGACCCCAGGCGGTCGGCCATGGCCGTGCTGGGGCTTGCCGGCTGCATCTCCATATCTCAGAGGAGAGGGAAAAGGAAACAGAGCTGGTGGCATCTGGGAAAGGGCCCCAGCAATCATTTGTCAAGGGGAGCAGGAGACACCTGTGAATGTGCTGCTCCTAACACACCCAAGGCTGCAGCTTCAGGGGTGTTGTTTGGGTGACAACTGGCAGAACCGGGGAGGGGCACCGTGGGAGAGCTAGCCAGGTGACCTGACATCCCAGGAAGGGTCTCCTGTGGGTTTGGTATGACCGTTAAGATTGGTGACTGTACTTGGGTTTTAGTCCTTACTTGAAATTTTGCTCCAAATGATGTTCCACTCTTTATCATCGGAATATTGGTCAAGTTAATTTTTGTCTTAAATTAAGAGTTTTATGTGATACAGGAATGTAGTAGTCTGCAAAATCTTACCATTTCACACCTTTAGGAAGCACAGAGCTCCTCAGTGACTCTTGCTTATGTAAGACAGCACACCCAGGCCCAGTTTCTCAGGCAGAGAAGTGCCCCCTCCAGCCACCCTGGCAAGGGTCCTCACACACCTGTGTGTGTGTGATAAGAGTGGGTATCACACTCCCATAGATCAGGGAGGCCAGGGAACTTTGTTGTTTTCCTCAAAGGGGGCTGATAAGCAATGCTGCTTTGGGGGAGAGTTAGGAAATGGGGCTCAGGAGAATAGTGGAAGTTGAGCTCCTATCCATGAGCAGGTAGAGAAGAGGAAGTACAGGAAAGAGAGAAGGGATTGGAAATGGCTGGTTGGACCTTGCAGGCCACATCAGTGTATCAGAATATCTCAACAGCCACCCTCTGCCAGGGCTTTAATAGTCCCTTGTTTTTCAGCTCACTCCTTCTTTGACAAAGAAGCATGGCTGAATTGGGGGTGGTTGGAAGGGCCTAGATGTTAGATGTGAGAAGTTTGGGGAAGGGGTTTATTGTTGAGCCCTAAACCAAGTTGTTCGGGTTTGCAGCTTCTTACAGCTTCTGGGTATTGTTCCAGTCCAGCATTTTCTGAATTGTGTTTCACGAAATAGTACTGGGTCATACTGACTTCTTCACTGCAGGACTTCTCAGAGCATTACATGCTGAGACCTGAGAAAAGGAGAGACAGTGGGCAGGTTTTTAAAACCCATTTCTTGTAAGGCATCTTGCAGCCAAGTACAGCTTGGCACTCACTTTGGAAAACACCTGAAAGTGTTTCAGATGGAAAAAGTGAAAAGGCAAAGGACGACAGGCCCATGCAGCATGAGAAGACACACAGGAAATGCTTGCTTCTGGCAACGGCACCCCGATCCTAGGACCAGAACCAAATTATGCTTTGAA